AATAAAAACCTTTGTGAAGATAATATAAAAGATGGAGAAGATGCAGTCCATTATCAGTCAGAGTTGCCTAAACAAAGTATTTGTAACTTAATAAATGATTATGGTGATATGGCAATTTCAAATGCTTTTGAAGAGGATACATTAGTAAGAAGGAATCTGATCAATCAAAGAAATCTATGTCAGTCAAGGATCTGAATAACAGCATAATACTTTCAGATGCCAATTCAAAAATAGTTCCATTAAATCATGACAAACATTCATTGAAAGAGAATTTGGTGTTAATGAGAATGTGTATCTAAGAAACTATGGGAGAAAGGAAAAATGGATACCAGGTCAAATTGTTCAATGTACAGGACCTGTGTCTTATAAAGTAAAAACAAATGATGGACTTATTGTCCGTAGACATGCAGACCAGTTAAAAATAACTTGTGCAGATAATAAGTGTGAATCTGTCAATCCCACCAAATCTGAACAGTTCACACCAACTCAGTTTGTTCCACAACCAAGTTCTGTTGATATGAGTGAACCAAGTTGTCTGGAGTCAGAAAATGTAAATTCTGGAGTTAATGATTTAAATCCTAGACCTCCTGAGATAGAGAATCCAAATGGTCAGAATATTGAGTCACCAAATCAAAAGCCACTGAGAAGGTCAAACAGGACAATCAAAGTCCCAAATAAGTTAGACCTATGATTTTAAAGGTCAAAAGGACTTTGACATCATTGTTTGTATTTTAATTATGTTGTAACATATTGTGCATTGTTTGTAAGGATGTAATCTACCATAGTGTTCATGTTACAATATAATTGGTGATTTTAGGATACTATCAATTGTTCTATTGAGAGATGTGTTATTGTGTTCTAAGGGTAAAGGGATGTAATAGATTGAGATAATTGTGAGGTCAAGGGAACTCACTCTTCTGTATTAGTATTAAATTTATATTGTTATCTTGAGTGATGTCCCTTACATGTTATGTATATAAGTCTCTCGTGACTTCCGTCTTCCTCTCTTTCCTCATGGTGTGAATAAACTACTGTTAACAATCTATGTGGCTCCTCGTCAGTGTTTGCCAATCGATCACAAACCTAGCCCCTGGCAGTGTTTCTTCCAGACTTTTTTCTCCGGGGGGGGGGGGGGCACTTGAAATTTTCGGGGGGGGGGGCGGTAGACTTTCTTCGGGGGGGGGGGGCGGACACTGTTAAAAGTATATATTCTCTATATAAATTATATAAATTTCATTTCGTTCGGGGGGGGGGGGGGCGGTAAAAATTTTTCGTGGGAGCTTTGCCCCCCCCCCCCGAAGAGATGCCTGGAAGAAACTCTGGTCCCCGGACTCTAGTGGTGCGCCTCACGAGGTGTGAATTGAATCAGCGGTGTGGACGGTCAGATCCTAGCTTTCTCATGGCCATACGTCACGGCTCAGTTGACCACGGTGGTCAGATCGCCGCCTTGCGTTTTTATGGCTTGCTCCGCACAATGAAGACAGTCGAAGCGCTGGTCAAACGTCTCTTAATTTACGACCGTAAGGTCAAGACGGTCAGTTCGGGTCAAACAGGTGGTTTGGGGTGATGGGAAAGTTTGATTGGGTTTAGACTATTTAAGGGGAAGGGTGGATAGTGTGAGGTCTCTTACACACACTAGCTAGGGCTAGAGGCTAGTCGAGGCCTTATGGTAGCAGCCTTAGGGGCTGGCCGAAAAAAGCTGGCTTAGAGGCCCAGCTGATGTATTGTTGATGTTGTCGTGTTACTTAACATATGCGCTTTGTTCTAGATGTTTACATCTGTGACCTGATGTTTAGACCAGTGGCCAATGTTGTAACGATGGCCAAACGTCTTGTCTCGGTAGATACGTTCTTCGTTCCAGTGGCCATTATCTATGTGGCTGATGTTTGTACCAGTGGCCAAACGTTTTGTTTCTGTAGATAAGTGCTTCGTTCCGGTGACCAGAGATTTGTTTCTGTGGTCCGACCCTGATCTTTATACATGTGGGTGATGTTTGTACCAGTGGCTCAATGTTTTATTCCAGTGGCTGGAAATCTTCCTGCCGCTTGAATGTCAAACTGGATGGTTGTGATTCTGAGATTACTTAGCCGTGCAAGTAGAACAATAAGAACCAGGGATAATGATATTTCAATTGGTGACTCCGAGATTACACAAGCAGTACAAGTAGTGAAGTTAGGACTAGGGAAAATAACATTTATCTGTGTGCATTCTGAGTTGTGTAAATATATGGTTACAACTCACACTTGTGTGTTTTTTTATATGAATTAATGTGAGTAACCAATGTGAATAATTCTGTATGGAGATGTAAGTTTAAGGATTTTTTAAAAATTTTTGATTTGTATTAGGGATTCAAGTGATGTCTTCTTGAATATGAAAGACTGGCCAGGTCTTATTTGAGTTGTTTCTTTTGCTTTTGCATATATATCTTGTGACGTCAAAGGAAGAATAATAAATGTATTAGTGTGAAGTAGTTAGCTTTGCTCAGGTCTGGTAAACCTCCTTGGTCCCAAGGATGCACGGATATGAGAGAATAATACCATCTTACCATCTCTCTCTTCTCATCGAGGAACCCCCTGTAACATTTAGAAACAGTGACCGGCAAAAACCGCTTTCCGGCTTTTCCTAGATGTGTGTGGGGGGAGGGGGGGGGCGATTTTTCGCGACCAAAATCGTAAAAATTTACATTAGATTGGTTAGTCGATAAACCTTAACAACTTATAAAAGAAATCAATTGTATTAAATTGTACGATTGTTTAACCGTAAAAAAAAACGTAGTGACTTTTATCAAAATGGTGAAAAGGGGTGGGCGCTTTTTCGCTAAATAAAATCGCAAGGATTTACACTGGATTGGTATAAAATAAAAGGAACTGGCCGAGTAAAAAAATAAACATTCCAAATCCCTAAGTAAACGGTATCATAGGCAAATCAGTACATTGCAACATATATGAGTGTTTTTGAACGATTGGAAACATGTCATAATCCTTGAATAACCGACGTAGCTGGCGCAACATAATCAAGAATCGAGCATTTCACGCAGCTGCAAAGACAGACGCAAGGCACGAGGGTACCTGTCCAACTTTTGCCTCAAGTTTTAATTATGAGATCTTGCCACCTTGTTTTGTATACGAGGACAATTCGATCGTAGCAGAGGCGTAGCGACCCTACCCGGCGCCCGGGGACAAACTTTCGATTTGCAACCCCCCCCCCCCCTCAAACTTTCAATTTGTTTTTCCAACCCATTTTGGCGCACCCTCCCCCCCCCCCTCGCTACGCCTCTGGGTCGTAGGATGACCTACGGTTACCAGGCCGGGTACAAAACTATCGGTTTAGCTAACGTGCGTACTATCTGATAGACCCCGCCGTTTAGTTGTGATCACATTTTAAAAAAGGTTGGGGCAGTGGCGTAGCGAGATCGGGTGTCTACTAATCATAATACATAGTAATTACATAATACAATTATAGCTTGAAGTTTAATTATTTATTAAATTCAGCCACTGTAGCATTCATATAAAACACAGGTAGGTCTATATATGAAAATAAAAAGAATAGCATTTTAGTGATAAGGGTTAAGTGTGGTTCTATAATGCATGTATTCTTGATTAAATTTTTTTTTGTCAGCAGTAGGCTATTTAAACATGGTTTGCTATTTGCAAAGAAACAATTAAAAAACTTATGTGTAAAGGATTGTCCATATCATGGGTCATGTTATGTTAGCAACTCCTAAATATAATCAAGTTTCTCTCTCTCTCTCTCTCTCTATATATATATATATATATCTATCTATCTCTATATAGCTCTATATATCTCTATATATCTATCTATCTCTATATAGCTCTATATATCTCTATATATATATCTATCTATCTATATATATATATATATATATATATATATATATATATATACATATATATATAAATATATATATATATATATATATACATATATATATAAATATATATATATATATATATACATATATATATAAATATATATATATATATATGTATATATATATATAAATATATATATATATATATGTATATATATGTATATATATATATATATATGTATATATATATATATATATATATATATATATATATATATATATATATATATATATATATATGATGTACCAAACAATATGCAATTTGGTGGTACCCTCTTGTCTGTGGTTACCCAGTGTGGCCTTTTCTCCACTCTCATTTCTTAAACATTTTGAAAGGGAAAAAAAACCTCTTTGGACAGGTTTATTTTAATGGCCTTCAGGGAAAAGTGTAGAAAGGGAGGAAAGTGTGGTGAAAAAAAAGATCACCAAAGATAAAAAGCATTGAAGAAACTTAAGCGAAAGTATTAAAACATTATAGATAGAAACATTAAGGTTCTATTATGTTCAGTGTGGTCTAGTTGTAGTGAAGTTTAGGGATAAAGTGTAGCGAGTAAGTAAATCAAAGTGACCAAAAGAGCTTAGCATTAACAGTAAGTGAACAAAGTAAAGCTCCTCCACCCATCTCTTTAACGTTCACTGGCGTACACCTCCACCAGCATCTTCAGTAACCTCAATTTGGCTGATTTTCAAGTAAAATACAATTTATAAAACCAGCTTATTTCTTTAAATTATCCTTTTTTTGGCAATTAATTGAGTGACAGAAAGTTTTTCTTCTTTTTTTGGATCAATTACTTTGGTCGGGTTTCCTTTGTGTTGAATAAATACACTTTTCTTATTAACAAAAAATGCTTATTTAAAAACAACTGGGGCCTTATTTTGGGGGCTGGAATGGATCAATGACATTTCAATTAATTTCAATCAAGAAAATTGCTTTGAGATATTAGCAACCTGACATACATATATATGTCTATACATGTACATATGTATACACACACACATATACATATATATATTCACACACACACACTTCATCATACATACTCGATTGGATAGTAGTATTTGAAAAATGTCATCATATGTCAAATTAAAAAATATAAACTAATTATGCTAAATGTTAGATATTTACTTCCCTTCTTCAACTGATTTTTTTAAAACGTTATTTCTGAACTCCTAAAGTTTTGAAAGCCTTTAGGGCTTTTACTGATTTTAGCAGTTTAGATTTTGCATTGGAAAGCTTCTCTACAACTATTTTATTTTCTGGGTTGATTTCTAGTTTGCTTGGGTCTGCTATGATTCTAGCTTTGATGAATCCTTTCATGATAGCCTCATGAACACCAACTCGTTCTTTTGTGACATTATTCACATATTCACCTGTATCCTTAGCTAATAGTCCATCACGGATGGCATCTGAAAATGATACCTGTAAATAAAAAAATAAGATGTTGAATTATTGTAGTCATAAGTTGTTTCTGAAGTTAAAATTATAATTTTAAGGAAGTTACAATTACAGTAATTTAACACAATGGAAAACTAACTTTTTTGCATTAAGTAATGTTATTTTAATGTGTTTACTGAATTTAAATGTTTTAAATAATTCTGAAGCAAAATATGAGCTATCCTAAGGAACATGCATTCAATTGAAACTAATAACCTTTGTTTTTTTCTTCTGATCAACAACACCATGGACAGCATAAGTCTTTGTAACAGTCTCTGGTTTGATAAGTTCCTCTCCTTCTTGGTATTCCACAATTACCAGTCCGGAATGTATTGCATCTGCTATGGGTATTTTGTCTCCACTTTCAGTTCTTAATTTAAAATAAATGTGTATTCAAATACAATTAATGAATTTTTTAGTTGAACATGTTATACACATTTAATTTACAAATTCAATAAAAATTAATTTTATCAATATTCTACTTAAATATAAATATTTTATAAGAAAAATTTAAAACAGCACTTGCCTATAAGTTGAGCTATGAGTATCTAAAATGTTAAGGGCAGCAGCTTGAGTGACAGAAAGTTTTTCTTCCGTTTTTGGATCTATTACTCCTGTTATTGAATATGGTCGGGTCTCCTTTGTGTTAAAACAATTATAACTTTTAATTTTGCATTTAAATGGAATAACTGAATTATAGTGCCCTGTAAAACTAATACAATCACTCACTGATTAGGAAAATATCCATAAAAATGGTACTTTGCAATTATTTTAACACTTTTGATAGCATAACAGCATTAAATCAATAGAAATCATCATTACCTTTGTTATTTTTATGGTAATGAGCCCGTATGAGTTCTTCTCCTCTCTAATTTTTTTCTTGCTGACAAACTCCATGAGTACGCTGCCTTCATTCATAGCATCTGTCATTGACATTGACTAGAAGAAATAGACTGTACTTGTGTATTTTGTTAAAAAAAAACCCATTAAATTAAAGTATGAAGTAATTTTAAAGTACAGTATCAAATTTGAAAAGAAGAAAATAATTTCATTTAAAGAGTAAAGTAGCAGCCATCAGTTTCATAATATGGCTTGTAAGTAGGTCACCAACTTCTTGTTTCTTACTTGCCAGGTAGTATTTTTTAAACCAAATGTGAACATTTTTATTGAATCTGTAAGTTATTTAAAATCGTAAACAATGGTAATGATTATAATAATAGACTACAAAAGGTAGGCTAGCTTTAAAAAAAATTGGCCTACATACAATTTCGATTTTTTTCAAAGAAGCGTACTATTAGTTATTATGTATTCAAATCCGTAATAAGTAGTCCTAAACGTAGTTAAAACTTTAATATAATATTATTTATAGCATAGGCCTACAGGTACTTAATTTGATTCTATTATTTGTAAAATGTTTATCATTGTTGCATTTTGGATACATTTGGAATTTAAAAATTTTGATGCAAGGCCCAGAAACAAAGAGCCGCCAAGTTTTTGTTATCATTGTGAATCATGTTCACAAAAATTAATTTAGTTCAAAAATGTATATCACTTTCTGGCTTATGTTGCTACGAATTTTAAGTGAGAGAGAACAAGTCTTACAAACCCTATTCAAGCCTATATACTATATACAGTTTATAGACTGAAATGTATATTTTAAAACATGATGCAACAACTGTAGATGTATTTGGTAAATGCCTTTAAATACTGTATTAAGTTATGAGCGCTTACTTGTCCAGTTTTAGGATTTATATATTGGTTTGTAGCCTGGTCTACAATTCCTAGCATTATAGCATCTTGAAGAGACAATTTTGTTTTTCCATCTCGAGGATCAAGAACACCTGTTATAATAAAAGTATGCTGCTCTTCCTCAAGAGCTGTTGTAACCTGTAATTACAAATGTTATTATTTTTACAATGAATTCGAGTTTGAAATCATTTTTAAAAAAAAGTGTTTTTAAAGAATTAAAACTACAGGTAAACTATTTAAAACGTTAACATTTACAAATCAAGCAACAAACTAACAGTATCTGTAGTTGTTTCTTCCTTTTCCTCTTCAATTGTGACCTCACTACTGATTAACTCTTCACTAGGAGTTTCATGCATCACCAGAGAAGCATGGGTTTTGGTAATATCATTTTGGATAAGATCCAGCTGTGTGTCCCAAAATCTGATTGTTTTAATCAGAAAAGAAATATTGCTTTCAAAATCAGAAAAGAAATATTGCTTTCAAATTGATATGAGTATAGACTTAAATATTTATAGTTATTTAATGATGTCACACTTCTAGAATGGATGGGGACTGGAATGTTTTTAGTTGATTATGTTGCTCAATTTTAACAGTTCTTAAGAATTTTAAGATTTTATAAATTGTAAACAATTATTATACTTAGGCCTAACCTTTTTTTTTTATTAAACCACTTTCTGTTTCAAAAAACAAAAATTACTATTGGGTGTAGGATCATAAAAAAATGGTAAAAAGCATACCATCAGGTAAGGAACATGACTTATCTAAATTTCAATAAATGCTACACAAGCATATCTCTTTTAAGACAAATTTATTCTAGCAGAGATACTTAAAATAAAATGTACATATTGGTTAACTGTGTTATTTAATTAACTGATATATAAATATTGTACAATATTAAAATATCATAAAGAAACAACTTCTTCACATACAAAATACTTTGCAACATCTTACTTTACAAAATGAGCTGAGGTCACAAATCTTAGTTGCTCCCATTTGTCACACACTAACATAAACTTAGGATGCTTCAGCATTTCAGCAACACATTTAAAAGTTTCCCAAAATGTCCAAAAGTCCTATACAAAAAATAGAGTATATTTTTATATAATAAAGTTTCCTTAAAAATGACAACAGACGTTTTGGTGAAACAGCAACATAAAATTGTATTCTTACTTTGTACTTATTCAGTAGATTTTCCAAGATTTTAACTTGCACCACAACACTAGAGGACATGTTGTTGTTTTGGGCATCAGCTGTTACAAAAAGAAATTATTACTAAACTCTTTCTTGCCTAGATCTGCAGTCTTTATTATGACTCAATAATATCATCATACAGATATACACACATTTCTTTATTAATTTATTTAAAGTAGAGTAAAGTTCCCTTTTCAATTCTGATGGTCTATAGGGCAAGTGAAATAGAGTTCACATGTTTCGGTGACCTCTGCATATAAAGAGATAGTGTGGTCAGCACTATGCCCAGCCACCTTTATTTTCCCTAACGTGAGATAGGTAACCATCAGAGTTGGGTAGACTCAGGGATGGTCTACTGATTTGAACCTGGATTTGAACTCGAGACTTACGAGTTAGCAGTCCAGCTCTCTACTGCTAGACCACTCTGTCCATTAATTTATTTACAAAGAATTTAATTTGAAAAAAAATATATTGACATTGCTTCTTACACAAAGTTAAAATAAACAGTGGCCTACTCACTTGCCAATCTAATTTTTTCTTAATCCTTGATTTTACAGGACAAAAAAAAAAGAACTAACCCTGTCCACTCAGTTCTGTTGATTCCTCTAGAATCATTTTTAACCTCGTGATCCTTTCTTGCAATTCCTGGAAATCACCATAACCATTCCAGTTCTCTAATAAAGTGTCTTCAATAAATTGTAAGATTCTCAACAGCTCAACTTTATCACTTGCTGCCATAGCTTGTAGCATATTTACCTAAAATATTTAACTCTTTGAGTAAATAAATTATTTTGCATAAAGAATAACAAATTGAATAGAAGTGTGAAAGATGTAATACATTCTTTAGTTAAAATAAAATGTCACTCCCATCAAATATAAATATACAGATTCATTTATGAATAGATCAGAATATCAAATACCAATTAGAACCAATTCAGATGCAATTCAGGTGCAATCTCCTCCCTTCCCCCACACACAAAGAGAACTTATAACTATAACTCTCTGCTTAGCATTCACCTGGAGCACCTGATTTGGATAGGGGTAGGGGGAGTGCACAGTTATGTTGATGGGTCAACTTAGCCTCAGTCCCGAATACCAAACTTTCAGGTTAACAAAAGCATGGTCTACTAGTAGACCATGCAAGAACTTTGTTTAGATTTGGTTCAAAACTTGGACATTGCCTGTAACTATGCTCTCTACATTAAGAAACCAACAATGGACTTATCCACTAAATAAGTCGCAGTTTGAAATATATTTAAACAATTAAAATTTTAAAAATTGATTATCATTAAAATTATGTCATTGGGTAGAAAAATGTCCCAAACTAAAGGATACTTTCAATAATAACTTTCTATTTCCATACAAATTTGTATTTCACAAACTGACCTCTTCCTCTGTCCAATCTCTTAGAACAAGCAGCATAAAAGCAATCATTTGATATCCTAGTCTTTTCACACTAGATGTCCACAAAGAAAGTAGTTGAAGTCTGAGCCTATAAAAATAATGAGCGCATTTTTAATAACATTTCTCAGTGAAATATATCTATTTTAGCTTGGCACATTTTCATACCTACAAATTAAAGAATAATATATTACAAAGATAGTATTTTAAGAGATAACATACAAACATAAGCTGTGTAAGTTGCACTTTTATTAATATAATCTAATAATACTATAACTATAGGGATAATAGATTGTTGTTATACTAAAATATTGATGGTAATTTTCCTATTTTCATTTAATTTAGTTATAGGATACTATGAAAAAATGTTCTGATCATCCGTATTTTAACACTAGATAAAATATTAAGTACTTAATCGCAGCATCCAATGCTTCAGCAGAAGGAGCTGGTAACAATATTATCACAGCTGGTACAAAACCAACTTGACCTTTTTCTGTACGAACCTGTGTCAAAAAAGATTGTTGATTAATTACTTTTTAACTTGAAAAGAAGATGCAAGTAACAAAAAAATTGCAGTGGAAAAATAAATATATTTATTTTTAGACTTTTCATTTCCTTTCAGTAAGTCTTGATCCATATTTTTAATTTAAATACATTGCAGTATATAATAGCTTCTTAAGCAATCATTATGGTCAATGTGAGCAATGACTAAAATTTCTTATGAAATTTACCTTGATATTCATAAAAGTAAAAAAGAAAAACCATTTATTGTAAAATTTACTACATTTATTTCTGCATATGCAATTCCTTACTGTAATTAACAGTAGTAAATTAATAGAAGCAAGAAGCTTTAGATGCCAAAAAAATATTACCTTCCATTTCTTTTTATCCGTATTGTCAAGTAATGTTAGGGTTTCACCCTCAATAAAGTCAAGCTGTCATGACATAAATAAGTTTTGTAAAATTTTATTATTTGTTCACTCTTAGGCTAAAATAGTTAAACAAGTTTAAAGTATTTTAGTATCTTTTTTCAGTATACAAAATTAAAGTGTATATTCTACTTTCAGTTTACAAATAGGCACTATTTTTAATACTTTGCACAGCCAATTTGCTACACTCTAACCAGATAAATAAGTAATAAACATCATTAAGTATGCTTTTAAAAGGATAGTAATGCTATAGCTATTTGAGAAATTCATTTGCATATAACTTCACACTATCACATCTCAAAAGAAATTTAAAGTAATACAAAATATTTGCAGGAACTTCTATTGATGAACATAGGCCTACTCCTTGCATTAAAAATAAGATATAGTGTAAATATGTAAGTATATAGATTATGCCCATTCTGTAGCTGTAGGTTATTCTGGATAGCAGCTATGTTTCCCCATCCCCCCCCCCCCCCCCCCCCCCACCAAAGTTATAGCCAATAACACTGTGTATTAGAGACAATGTAGGAAAATTCTATTTGCATTTCATAAACATAACAACCAGGGGAAAAATATGGCATATTAGTTTCAAGTAAAAAGAAAATTTAAACCTATTTAATTAAGGTTAAGTGTGGACAGTATTAGGATAATAGGTTGGGATAATAGGCCCCTAATTTCCCGACAAACTTTCCTCATCAATCCAGTTGCACTTTACTTTTGCCAATGTATTAACATGTTTTGGTCCTCATTATATATTTGGCTAAAGAAAGGAGAACAATAATACATGTAATTCATTAGAAAGTTTGACAGTATTTTATACTACAGTTTTTGTAGTGTTTTTTTCCCTTTTCTGATGAGAAAGCACTTGTTAATGATTTTAAAAAAAAACCTAATTCACCCAAATATTAAAAAGTAAAATAACATCCATAACAAAGATGCAACATTTTAGTAGCAGGATATCTTTAAATCTACCCAGCTCTGATGAGTACCTGACTCATGTTAGGGAAAATAAAGGCAGCTGGGGATAGTGCTGATCCATTCGTATACAGAGGTCAAGAAATGTATGAATTCTACTACATCTGCCTGATGGATCATTTGGTCTGAACAGGGAATTTCTAATAAAAGATGTAAATCACTTAATACTTGCAATTAAATTTAAACAAGAATATTTCTTTTCTATGGTTAAAAAGTTTTTCCATATTACTGTAATATTACAAGATGGCAAAATTATGGTCAAGTACGTTAATGTCAATAATTATAAATAATATAATTTCTTAAATCATATCTATCTAAGCCTGTGAGTTGAGGTCTAGCTTAACTATGACATGAAGCTAAGTAATAAGTAACATTTTGTCAGAATCTATTAAAGAAATATTTAACTATTACAAAAAAGACAGAGACAAAGTAAAAGTAATTGTAATAACACAAAGATGATGATCAATGGATTCAAAACTATTGTTATATAAATATGAAAAAAATTGTTTTTACTCACTCCTTCAGCATTATAGTCTGTAAGCGCTATGACTGGCTTTGGATCATTTAGAGATCTCAGTCTCAATGGAATGGGTACAACCTGTTTGGCTTTGTCAAATAGATAGTCAATCTTTGTCTGCCACTGTAAATATGCTGCCAGGACATCCTAAAGTTAACAATATTTTTATACTGCTAAATTATATTTTTATAACACTTTTGACTTTTGAGGGAATAGATCTAGATCTAGATGAAAATTTAAAACTAAGTTAGGGGCCTATTGCCTTTCATAACAAAACATAATACCAGTTTTCCATGCCTACAAGGTAATTTTAAAAATGAAGCATTTAAAAATAGGCTCTATATATCAAAAGAATCTATCTATAACGATATAGGGCTTAGGTCCCAATTGTATGACTAAATTTATGTAGTCATACATTTTTTCTAAGCCTTTCTCTTTACTTTTAATAAGCTTACAAACTATTTTGGAAAAAACAACTTAAAATTACCTTAATTTCCTGAAGCATTTTTTCAGCATCTGATTTATTGCCAATAAGTTTAGATCGATCAAAAGATAAATGGATGCGTGATAGTGTTGTATTCATCCAGTATTCAGCTTCATTCACTTCCTGAAAAAACTTTAAAGCAGGACAGAATTCAATAATAATATTACTACATTGGTAGGATGTTAATTGCTCTAAAAGACAGTTTTACAATGCAGTAGTAACCTTATATTTTGTTTATAAAGCACCTCTTAAGTTACCAGAGGCGTAGCGACCCTTCTCGGCGCCCGGGGACAAACTTTTCGATTTGCACCGCCCCCCCTCCCCTCGCTACGCTACTGTAAGTTACTTTTGAATTAGCATTTTATTTTGAAATACATTACAGATAGGCCCTATAGTCAAAATTTTTGTCATAACATATCAATTATACATGCACATTATATGCTCAAGAATTCCAAAGTACTGCATATTCTTTTGAGACAAATGAAGATTTTAAATATAACATGCATGTGACCAACAGTATATTTTAAATTTCCCAAGAACACTAATACCTTAATAGCAGGCTCAGACATAGACACTAAGGTGAGGATAATGTGGTTATGGCCATATTCTTGTTATATAAAGGTTTCATGTAGATCAGCTTATACATGCACTGTAAAATTCATAAGTAAGCTGCAAGAACAGCCATTCGCTTATATGACTGATAAGGGAAGTCTTAGCATAGAAAAGCTACTGGCCTCTTTCTCAAGAACTTGATCAAGTCCTTGATCACCACAATTCTAATATTGTATGGATCAGAGACCTGATGGACATCCAAGGGCTACCTCAGAATGATATCAGACAAAAAATAAAAAACAACATGGTGATGTTGAATTGAAGCGAGCATAACAAAAATGGTTCCACATGAAATAATTCTATACTTCAGAAGATGCAAATATAAAGAGCAGAAGGGATAATGCTTAATAAGCAATTCACATAAATGATTGGTTCACATATGACTTATAAAATACTATTTTTGATTGTATTAGCTGCTGAAGCTGTACTTTTAAGTACTTTTAGTTCAACAATGTAGTATTTAGAGCTGATGTTAAATTTGCTTTTTGGAAGAAAATTATATTGTTTCAACAAATAAATTTAATAAGCTATTAATATTTTGCTGTGGCATACTAAGGATTTTATCTAGGTGGATTGTTTAAAAATGTCCATATATACTAATGCTACAGATCTCAATAGTGGCTAACTAGAAAGAAAAAAAACCTCCCCTCTCTCCCTGCTAATTGTTTTTTTTGTATGTTTATATGTATATTTATGTATGTGTATATATATATATGTATATGTATATATTATATTATGTATTTATAAATTATATGTATATGTATATGTATATATATATATATATATATATATATATATATATATATATATATATATATATATATATATATATATATATATATATATATATATATATATTTTTATATATATATATATATATATATATATATATATACACATATACATATACATATATATATAAAATACATACATACAGAATTCAACTATTTATATATATATATATATATATATATATATATATATATATATATATATATATATATATATATATATATATATATATATATATATATATATATATATATATATATATATATATATATATATTTATATATTTATATAATATATATAGTTGAATTCTGTATGTATGTAACAGACGGTGGACTAACCCGTGATTACAAAGGAATAAAGCAAAAAAATAGACTTGATCGCCATAGTGTAATATATCTAAAGTGCTCATCATCTAACTTAATAATTGAAAGTGTTATAAAACAAATTTCAATTTCCAAACTTATATTGTTAATTGATGGCATGTGCATTAAAACAAAATTAAAGAAAATGTATCACCCGACACAAACATTCTAATTGTGTCTAAAATTACATCCCTTAATAAATTAGGAAAACATTTCCCTTTAAAAAAGCATTACATGTTAAAAATTGTCCATGAGCATTAACATGTTATATGGAAATGAATATATGACATGGGGTTGATTTGAATACTAATATCCTATTTTTGTTTTAAATGTGAATGGGTGAGGAATATTTTTTATAACATTTGTATTTATTCTGTGTTATTAGGAACTTTTATTGTCAGAAAAATTGTTAAAAAGGTATTTATTTATCTTATTCAGCTGAGTTTGTTAATTTAAAATTATTAATCAGTTACTTACTTCCTGATAAGCTGCTGCATTTCTTAGATGCACTTCAGCACATTGCATTACTTGAAACACCCATCTCCAATTTTGTCTCACAGACGAAATGCAGTTCTTGGGGAAGGTAAAGATTGATTATTGTATCTTTGTTGAGAAAATTAAGTGATAAAAATAAAAATTCAAGTCTTATGTAGAGTGAATGTACCTGGGCTGTTCTGGCTAAGCTCTCATTAGATTGTGTGGGACCACCTTTTTGTTTAGTGATATCAGTGGTATTGACCAGATGAACTGATCTAGAATCAAATTCAGTAGACAAACTCTGAAAAAAAAATTCAGCAAGTCATGTGTTGTGTCTAGAAATAAAGTAATGTAATATTTTTATATATCGTATATAGAGAAAAAACAAACCGCAAGCAAAGTTTCAGAGCGACTACTTTCAAACTTTTTATGCGTGCCAAAACTCAACAATGCATTTCGACAAAAAAAAAATGTGACTATTCGATTTTTTAAGAACTTTTTAAAAACTAATTAGTATTTTCCTATATAAAATACAAACTAAACTGTTGTACACACATTGTTTTTGTTCATTTGATGGGCAGTTTAAAAAGATTATTCAAAATATTTTTAAAAAAATGAATAAAAAGCATTTTTATTGCCATATTTCACTGCAATGCCATCCCCCTTTCTGTTGCAATAGAATATATGAGAAAGTTTTGGGGACAACACAACTGATATATTTAATATACATGTCTGTATCAAAAATCAATAATACTTTATTAGGTTATTCAAAATCTAATTTTTGTGGAAAAATAAATATATAAAAAATTAAAACAGCACTGGTTGCCTATAAACTCGTTCATATTTTAATGACCAACGATTATAATTGCTTTATAACACTATCCAAAAAGAGATAAATATTCTTACTTGGACTAAATCTTCTAAGGAAGCAATCTGGCTGATTATTTCCAAGCAAGAGTTCCTTTTTTCAGATAAAGCCTGTGGAAATTAAAAAGAATTGTCAATATTCAATAGCTAAAATTAATAGAAGTAGAAGTAAACTAATATACTATACTGTATAGGGGATGCCTGGCTGTGTCCAAGAGGCCCAGGAAATTTATAAAGGGACCCCCCCCCCACAACCCATGGCTATAAATCAAGTATATATATGTATATATATATATATATATATATATATATATATATATATATATATATATATATATATATATATATATATATATATATATATTTATACTAGCTGCATACCCATGCGTCCCCACTGTGAATCTTTTTTTTTAATGTACCAACTTGGGAACAGAACAAAACCAATCACAAACACAAAGGAAAACAATGCAAACACAAACTCTTGAGTCTGTTTAATGATGATGCGCAGAGTAGCAATTTTCTTCCTAAAGCCTGTTGATCTCGAAGCTGGAGGTCTATCGCTTCCTTCATTATGTTTAATAATATTCTTTTGAAGACTTTGCCTAGGATGGACAAAAGTGTTATCCCTCTATAGTTAGAGCATGCACTAAGATCGCCTTTCTTTGGAAGGTGAGTAGTCCCTCCTTCCACTACTCTGGTATTTGTTCATCTTCCCAGATTTTCTTGAAGAGTGTAGTTGGGGCGTAGGCCTGTATTATATCTATGGTCATTCGTCTTATTTTAGTTTTAAAGGTGGCTGCTATGATCCGCTGGCAGGTTGCCTCAAATCCAATGAGAGCCGTTTGTGCTTGGTTTGATAGCATGAATGCGACTCCTTGAGTATGTGGTGCATTTTCATCCTCGTGGCCTGAGAACAGCAGTAGCTCTCCTGTTGTCTTTTTTATCCTGAGCCAGTCCACCTTGACTCGCTGATACTCAGGATAGCTATTTTATAGCGCCTCATTTTTGCGGCTACTTGGGGTATGTTAGGATGCATGTTATGATCTATGTTACATAGGTTACTTTTCCAGCTTCATACATTGTGCAGACATTCAAAGCTCCAATATTGATAATGAACTTGAGGAAATAATGGTGGTCGACCCGGTAGTTTTCAAAACATATTAGCTTTCACCATCCTGCTTCATAAATTCTCTAAAGGGAGATCCATTCTTTCCCAGGTTTGAGCTCTCTGTATTTCTCTTTGTCTGCGTTTCTGTAGCGAGTTGTTTTTTACGATGTAAGGTTGCTGACCTTATGCTTAACCCCCAATCTTGAGGACCAGGGTGCTAGCTTTCGTCAGACCCCTACCCGCGCAGTCCTTCCAAGCTTGGTTGAACCTACCAGGAGTTTACACTCCCGCTGGTATAGCTCTGGGGGTCGTTGAGGTACACTAGCTGCCAAGCCACGGCAAGGCCTTAGCACCAGATGACAGCATGAAAATGTGCAGCAGAAAATTATCAGTCTAATCTAAATAAATGACAGACAAATGTAGACGAGGAATCAAACTGTAAAAATATATTCTTCTGAGTTTGAAATCCATGAAACAGAGTAGGATTCTGTGTACGTTTTTCTTCTAAAAAATAATGAAATAAAATTAGAAAATTTGTGTCTCCAGATTTAAAAAGCTTAGGGGGCATCTAAACCTTGGGGCCTGTGAGCTTTGTCCACCTTAATTACATGATTGCTATGTTACTGCCCCAAACCCAAATTGAAAATTTCATTGTCTTTTTTTCCCAATGAAAGCCTGATCTTTAAGAAATTGGAAATTTTTTATAGGAATGAGAATGGTAAAATGGATATATACCAACACATTAAAAAAACACACAGACTAATACTACAGCACCGTTTTCTGGGGGGGGGCCTACCTGGCATTTTCCCTCCTGAGGGCTAACAGTGAGATTTTTTTCCTGGGTGCCCACCCACAATTTTCCTGTGGGCCTACCAGGATTTTTCCTGGTAGACCAGCAGGCCAGTCCACCCCCTATAAGTATAGTGTATACGTAATATTGACTATAATTAGATATTTAGATATTACCTTGACAGAATCATAATTCCCATTTAACTCCTTTGCATTTTGCTCATCCAAGTTCTAAAAAAAAATAAGTAACTTGTATAATTAAGGGGTCATCCATAAATGACGTAACGCTATTTTTGACGATTTTTACCTCCCCTCACCCCTCCGTCACAAAAAGCCACCCCCTCCCCCCCCTCCCTAAAATGACGTCACACCTCAGCCTACAACCCCTCTCAAAATTGCAGTTGAATTTTTCTTAAAACATCGATATTTTACCAAAATCTTGTCTGAACTTTGTTCAGAGTATTTTAATCAATTCCTATTACAATGTATTAAAACCGTTTTCTAAAACGTGAAATAACGACTAAAACACCGTCACAAAATTACGGATCCCCCTCCCCCTAAGAGTGTGACATCATTTATGGACGACCCCTAAATATCTTTAAGAAGAATTTTATGTATGAGAGTTTTGTTTTCAGTAAATATTATGATTATTTTTATTCAGATTTTGTGATTGGTCTTCCCCTATTAATTAACAATTGCTAAAAATTCTTAAAATTTCTTATTATAAAATTTGCATTATTAAATATTTGCATCTATGGACTCTTACCTCAGATTTTAAAACAGAATCAATATTTTCACGAAAATGAAGAATTTCCGTAGCTTTAGTATGTTGCAGTTTTAAGGCATCAAGGACATTCATTTTACCTTTGCCAAACTCCGCAATCTCCATTTCACCCTAAACATTAGAAAAGGTTAATGCAATATTTTAAAAGGATCACATGGCATTCTTTTTAAGAGGATTTCAATTTTCATCATGTATTTTTACTTTCTCGTATATACGAAGTATAGAGAAAGTCTTGTAATCGTGCAAAAAAAAAAAAAATCGAGATTTTTACAAATCTCGACGTTTTACACCTCACTGATACGGAAAAACATAATTTTGTAATCTTGTCCGTGTAAACACGATAACTAGAGTATCGTTACAGCTAGGTTGATGAAATTTCATATATAAGTATTTTGTCAAAATCGTAGATCCTGATCAACTTTTGAGCGATTTCCGATAACCGGTAGTGGTACTTTTTCTACTTTGAATTTTTCAAAAGCCTATAACTTGAGTACTATTTCAGATAGATAAATGAAATTTCACATGTAAGTAAAAGATCTAATTCTCTACCTTCTATCAAATTTTGAGTAATTTCCGTTGACCGGAAGTACTAATTTACGCTATTTCCGATTTCTCAAAAAAACTCATGTAAATTTATAAAGTACTAATAATATTGCGCACTACTATGCACATTTTGTTTTGGCGTTCGCTTGGTGCGCAATTCTTTTTTCTACGAGATTCTATTCTATTTTTAAAAGTTTAAGTAATTAAAAATCATGTCTATATTCCAAGTTATATAAGAATATTCGAGAAAGTTTAGGGGAGATAACTCCCGGTTTATTAGATGTGTGATCTGGTTTTCTAAATTGAAATTATTCAATGTAAATAAATCAGTTGCTATATTACTTGAATCATAGTTGTTAGGTCGCGGGGTTTGTCCACACTACCACTCAGATACATTAGGGCATACTGAGCCTTGAGTGAAACAGTGTGGAGGACTCACCTCGGCAACCACCCACGTACCAGGGGCATCACAGGTTAAGCCACTGGTTAAACTGCCACAGGGGCACCGGGTATAGCCCCTGGTTCGGTTTGATAATCCAATGTCATGTGCCACTGTGTTCTTATTGTAGGATGTTCTTAAAACCCATGTAGATGCCATAATGATCCCAGAGGATCCCAGTGGGTGCTGCAGGTCAGTTCACCACTGAGGCACCGGCAGATGTTCCCAATTCAAGTTATTCAACAACTATAAAAGCCCAAAATATCCTTAGTGTATTGCTTTAATTGAACGTAGTCACCATAGTTCTCACAGGGGAACCCAGAGGGCCAAATCACACCCTACCAGGGCACCAGAGGACAAGATATGATTTAGTGAACAGTGATAGTAATCCATAATATCCATAGTGTTTTGAATCTTTAAAACAAACATAAGCACCATAGTGGGGTAAATTTAACTTCACCCCCAGCCACCTTTACAAATACCCCAAAAGTATTTTCAACAACTTACCAAAGTTTTAAGGCGATCAGATGACTGGTTTAGTAATGCAAAAAGTCAGGTGAACACACACAAACACACTTTCATTTATATATATATACATATATATATATATATATATATATATATATATATATATATATATATATATATATATATATATATATATATATATATATATATATATATATATATATATATATATATATATATATATATATATATATATATATATATATATATATATATATATATATATATATATATATATATATATATATATATATATATATATATATATATATATATATATATATATATATATATATATATATATATATATATATATATATATATATATATATATATATATATATATATATATATATATATACATATATATATATACATATATATATACATATATATATATACATATACATATATATACATATATATATATATATATATATATATATATATATATATATATATATATATATATATGAGTAAATAAACCAATAAATATAAGTATACATTATAATAGTATATATTATAATCACCTGTTTTTGAAACAACCAATCCATACAGCGCTGAACTTCAGACTTTGACATCTTCTTCTAAAAAAATTGACAAAATGGTTAATTAGTATTTAATATCAGTAGGCCTACTTAGATGTTATTTATAACCAGATTAATAATTACTTGAAAACCTTAGGAAAGATTTTAATCATAGAAGAGAGCTCCCAAAACAATCTAAGGGGTCGTAAATAAATGACGTCACACTCATAGGGGGGAGGGGGTCCGTAATTTTGTGACGGTGTGTGATGAGAGGGAAGGGGGGGGGGGTGAGATGGTGTCACTTATTTGCATTATAAAAAGGCAATGTTAGAAAACGAGTTTTAGTCGCTATTTAACGTTTTAGAAAACGGTTTTAATAAATTGTAAAAGGAATTGATAAAAAAAAATTCTGTATTGACAGAGTTCTGACAAGATTTTGGAAAAATATCGATGCTTCAAGAAAAATTCAACAGCAATTTTGAAGGGGGGGGGGGGAGGGGGGTTGTAGGCTGGAATGTGACGTCATTTTTGGGGTGGGTCAGGCTTTTTGTGACGACGTGTGACGGAGGGGAGGGGGGGGGGGGTAAAATCGTCAAAAAAGCGTGACGTCATTTATGGATGACCCCTAATTAAAAAAAATATGTAAGATATTTTAAAAATTGAAATTAAAAAGAATTTGATTATCGACTGCAAATTGTAATGATTTAAGGCTAGGAAAATAATCATCTGAAACGGTTTTAAAAGTGTTATAGTTGTTAGATACTTAAGAAATTAAGCATCCAAGCTGAAACTAAACAACTTTAAACAAGTAAAACTAAAAAAAAAAATCAAGTTTGCACAATTGCATCATGCTACAATTATTGGAGCATAAGGATGCTGCAGTGACTTGATGTGTAGGCAAAATGCTTAGTTAAATCTACATAAATTTAGTACCAGATACTTCCTTTTTTATTTTGTATGTCTTTTTTCTGATGTCATTCATTTTACCCTTTTCACGACAGTTCCAGTCTAGTGCATATCATGCAATATTATTTAAGCCCACTGGCTGGTGCTGACAGTTTTAGAGTAATATTCATCTGACTATTGCTCATCTTTATTAAAAACAGGTGTGAAGTAAGACAGAAGTCTGGAATAGTCTAATTGTATGTTTAAGGCACTAGGTCAGAGGCATCACTAGCTTTAGTGACACTAGGTGGTATCCCAGAGAGTCACCCTATCCCGTTGCCGTTATAACGGCTATGGGCTATAGGCCTACATTAGACCCATATCTCACGTACCAAAACTAGATGTCATTTGGTGTCACCCTATTCCAGGATGGTATCACTAAGTGGCTAAGGATTATGTAGCTTTTAAAATGGTAAAATCGTGTTTCTCATTAAAAATATATTTTTTTCATGTAACTCCCACTGATGGTATTTCCTTGTTTGCCCCTGACAGTTCGCTTTTGCCTTATGACACATTACTGGACTAAGTGACAAGAGACTAGGCTTATTATAGCTTAGGCTTGCAATAGTGACCAAGCCTTATATAAATGTAACATATTTTTATACGCAATTAGAATAACTTAAAATGTTACATTTTTAAAAAATATATAAAGCCTACTTGTTTGGAAACGATGGTTGCTTACTTTACTTTTCCTTCCAATAGCAGCTCTACTAGACAATGCAAATAGATCTAGCAGATATGTTAATTTAATTTAAAACATAGGTAAAAAGATAGATTTTTCTATATCAAGATTTAAAACAACGAGTAGACATATTTAAAGTGTTTCAAAGTATTTTTAATGTAATGATGCCTAGATTTAGATGTTCAAAAACTTTTTAAAATAGACTAGATCTAGATCTATATTGATTCTAATTCTACTTCAACCTTTTTAACTAAAAAATAAAGTATTTTACGGGTGACAAGCTTTTTTGTTCAACAAGCTTACCCAATCCTAGAAAAACAACCACAGGAAAAAGAACGCCAAGCAAAACTGTCGTCTAAAGATATCAACAAGCAATATTAATCTCAGCAGGTCTGTGCCTACACCAGATCACCTGTACATTGAAGCCACCTCATTGTTTGCCTAAGCCCAGCCATGTGTGTTCAGGCTAAAGAATTAAATAGGAAAAGGGTAGAGGGTAGGGTAGATTTTAAACCGGTTTTCCCCTCCTATTAAAAGTGGTCGCTTTTCCCGGCGGAAAAGCATTTTACCTTTTAAGGTTAACATAATTTATATATGTAGGTAGCAGAAAAAGAAAAGGCAGTTTCAGCAGCTGATGAACTTCAAGAATAAGTTAATCAGAAAAATATCTTAACATTTAGCACTCAACCTAGTACTAATATTCAATTGTGAAACAAAAATGTATGAAGGCTATATGCTATTGACATTAATAGCAGTTCTATTTCAAAAAGCTTGTGGGGGTGGGAGGGGGGGGGGGGGGATTTAGAAGGGGCTCCAACGTTGGAAGGGAAAAAAATTAAAAAATAAAAAGCTCTCGCTGGACTGCTTAACAAAGTCAAAGCTATGAAAAAAAAGACTAATAGGCCTAGTTAGCTTGATTGACTGCTTTAATTGTTTCGAGATCAATTATAGGACACCAAAATAAAAACTGAAGAGCGACGGGTAAAAAGTACCCACCCCCCCTTCGAACTAATTTTAATTTTATTTCTTTTTTTCTTTTTTATAAGATCAAATATTTAACCCCAGAGAAATCTGTATGTATGTGACAACGGATGGGCGGGCGGACGGACTCATGGCAAACATGCCCACAGTAAAAAGTTCGACTCGATCGTCATAGTGTAATATTCTTAAAGTAAGTTAAAGCGTTTATTATCTAAATGAAAGATTTAAAAAATTAATATGGATGGTTTCGTAAAAAAAAGTTTCATTTTCCAAACGTATTATTTTAAGTAACGTCACATGGAATAAACAAAATCAAAGAAAATTTATAATCTTTCACAAAAAATTAAAAGTTTACAAATTACTTCCCTTTTTCCTTTTATTCCAATTACTTCCCTTGATAGATCAAAAAATAATATTTCCCTTTAAAAAAACTTACTTGTTTGTTCTGATGTTGGAAAAAAAAGTATATAATTTTATAATTAGCATGGATTGATAAAGTGCAATATGGTATGTAAAAAAAGGATATTTTAAATGCCGCCTTTTGTTTATTTTATACACTGAAAGCAATGTTTACTAATTATTGTTTTAATTACTATTTTTAAAACAGCCGCTCCTAAATGTCATCTAAATGTTTACTTCTATCTTTCCGTTTGCGGACAAACTGGGGTATTATAGACGTTCAATAATTTGAATCAGGAGCGTCCTCCGGCGCCCCGACAGGATGGTATTTGGCACCCCGGCCCTTCCCGTGAGCGCTATGGCGGTTAGTGTTAAGTTTAAATTTAGGGTCACGTGTTTTTTTTGTCAAACGTTCATGCCGGTATGTACTGCTTAATAAACACACAAGTCATGGTTCTTTAGAGATAGGTTTTCACAGCCGGGACGGCTAGTAATATATAAAGCTTACATGCGCTGTGGCTCTGTATGTGTGACAACGGACAGCGGACGAGCCCGTGGAACATATGAATATAGTAAAAATACTCGGATTGATCCCCATGGTGTAATATTCTTAAAGTGTTTTCTTTTGAAATAATATCATAAATGGATGATTACATAACTAAATTTTCATTTTTCAACTTTAATTGACATAACGTAAAAAAAAAGTAAATTAAATTTAAAAAAAATTAAAGTACATGTATTACCCTTTACAAATATTTCAATTTTGGTTGAAAACATTCCCATTACGCCCCTTTGAACCCAATACAAATATGAATTACAAATAAACAATTAAATAAACATTTTTATTTTGATGTTTGCTTTTTTTGTTTGCGTTTGTGCTTGCTTTTCTGTTTGTGTTAGTTTTTTCGTTTGTGTTTTTGCGTTTGTCTACGTTCGCGTATGTCTTTGTATCAGGGGCGTAGCGAGGGGGGGGGGGGCGGGGGGTGCGGACCGCACCGGGTGACACCATTTAGGGGGGTGACACCAAGGCAAAAAATAGCAAAATATATAGAGAAAAACTCGAGGGGGAGGTGCAAATCGAAAGTTTGAGGGGGGGGGGGGTGCAAATCGAAAACTCGAAGGGGGGGTGCAAATCGAAAGTTTGAGGGTGGGGGTGCAAATCGAAAGTTTGAGGGGGGGGGGGGTGCAAATCGAAAATTTGAAAGTTTGTCCCTGGGAAGGGTCTCTATGCCTCTGGGGGGGGGGGGGGGTGACACCATTAAGTGCCGCACCGGGTGACACCCGACCTCGCTACGCCACTGCTTTGTATTTGCGTTTGAGTTTTTAGTTGTTTGTGGTTGTTGATGGTTAGGGTTAAGTTTAGGGTTAGGTTTAGAGTTATGCGTCTATATTTGCATATAGACATTTAATTGGAAAAGTAATATATTTCCTAAACCAGGGCAATGCCAGGTATATGCTGCTTAAAAAACACACACGGTTCTTTACAGATAGATTTTTCAATAATTACACGACGCTAAAGATACTAATGGCTTTCATTAGTATGGAACTATCACATCGGGTATTTACAGACTGTATATATATATATATTATATATATATATATATATATATATATATATATATATATATATATATATATATATATATATATATATATATATATATATATATATATAATATATATATAAGATAGGAGGTGGGAGGAGAGAGAACATTTTTTACAATTCGTTTTATTACTTGAAAAATTGCTAGTCGAGATTATCGGAAAGGGTAAAGCAAACAAAACGTCTAGCCTGACCCCCGTTATTTATTACTTTTACAATGTTTGCTTTTCACTACAGTAGAAGGCCTATTTATATAGACCACGGGTTCTCAACCTGGGGGTAGCGACCCCCATGGGGGTCGCGAAGGGCTTTCTGGGGGGTCGCCAACTCGTATACTAAACCTTAGTAATGAGAAACAAAACATTAATATTTAGAATATTTGAAATTCGGCTATACAAACATCACTGGAAATGGAATAGACAAGAAGCCATGCGTACTGTACAAAGTTGTTCTTAGTCACGAGTTTATGAAGTCATCAAAACTAAAACGTCATTTGAGACGAGTCATTCGGAACACACCAAAAAAGATAAGGAGTTCTTTCGTCCGCGTGAAGCTAGTTGCAAACGTAAGAGACTTAATTGAACTGGAAGTTTTCACCAAGGAAACACAACATTAGTGCAAGCATCAAATGATGTCACGATAGAAAATGACAAGCAAAAAAAAAAAAAAACACAATAGGAGAAGATAGTAAGGCAAATTTTAGGGGATTCCAGTGCAGTAAAGATGCAACAAATATCTCAGCCTAATAATACTATTCAGCGACTTATAGCAGACATGTCCGTAGATGTCAAATAACACATTTTAAATGAAATCAAGCTTTCACCATTGTTTGCTTTTCAAGTTGATAAATCAACAGACGTGAGTTAGTGTTCGCTGTTGCTGGTCTTTGTCTATATTCATTCAGATGATAGCAAAGAAGAGTTGCTACTTTGTGAAGATAGCATGGAGAAAATAAATACGTTTTTTTTTAAAAACAGGATGATTAAAATCGGTACGAATAACACCGCTGTGGGGGTTTGTACGGATGGTGCGCCATCTAGGCTTAGGTAAAAATCGGGCTTTCACAAAACAGAAAAGATTTAGCTCCCTAAACACTGCATGATTCACCAGTATGGCCTCGCCATCAAGACGCTTCCGACTCCATTGCTAGTAAAAGTCTTAAAATATATTAAATCTGGAGCCTTTGAAAACTGAGCAACGACATTAATATAGATCACAAGGTTCTGTTTTTCTACACTACAGTACGCTGGCTGTCAAACAAAACGTTGTGAATCGTGTTTTTGAATTGAAATCTGAAATCAAATTGTTCTTGGAAGTGCAAAGGAAACAAGACCTTTTGGTTTACTTAAAACGACATAGAGTGGTTGGAGAGAGTATCATACCTAGCAGATATATTCGAACATCAACATAAGCTTAACCTGAAGCTTCAGGGAAAATGAACGAATATTATCACTTTCCATGATAATCTCGGGGCATTTTTATCAAAGCTGCAAAATTGGCGAAGAAAATAAGTCTTGGAAATATTGAAAACTAGCCGTCCCGGCCAGGCCCTGCTCTGGCTTCTGTGAAAAACCTTTCTGTTAAAGACCATTACCTGTGTGTTTAGTAATCATCATAAACCCGGCATTGCCCACCCAAACCACAACCAACCAAAACAACAAATCGCAAGCATAACGCTAACACAATTACAAATACAAACGAAAATAAAAACCTAACAACAAACCCAACCACAATCACAAACACCAATACAAACACAAAGAAAAAACAAACAAAAAAGCAAACGTAAACAAAAACCTAACAACAAACCCAACCACAACCACAAACACCAATACCAACACAAAGAAAAAAAAAACGAAAAAGCAAACGAAAACAAACCAAATCCAAACGGAAAACCAACCACAAACACAAATACAAACACAAATCCAAAGAAAAAAACACAAAAACGAACCAAATCAAAACGCTACCACTAACGCAAACCCAACCTAAACACAAAGAAAACACTAACGCGAACATAAACGCAAAGTGCTCACAGTCTAGCCCGGGGCAGAATCGCCTGTTTAAGCTTCATAATCGACTATAGGACCCCAACTTATTCATAGTCTTTTGCACTCACTTAAACGAACGTAGGTGCCAAACCAAACCAAATGAACAATTATAATACTCCAAGCTTATTCGTAAAATACCTACAACATTTGCACTTGATCAATCCCCGCTTATTATGTAATTATTTTTTTTCCCAACACCAAAACAAAGTAATAAAAAGTAAATTCTTTTCCACTAATGCAATGTTTTATAAAGGGAAGTAATTATGTTTTCCTAATTTATCAAAGGGAAGTAAGTGCTAAAGGACTAAATATAAATAATTTTCAGACATAATTAGAATTTTTGTTATTTTTTTAAAAATTGTGTTTAATGAACATGCCGACAATTATTACTATCAGTTTGAAAAATTAAAATTATTCCCCAACACTTTCAATAGTAATTTTTTAACTCATAAATTTAGACTATGAGCACAATGATAGTCTAACACTTAAATCCATCGAAGTATGTCAACGACATACAAACTTATTTTTACATACAGAATTGAGCTTTATATATTAGATTTGAGAAACTCTGCACGTAGGTGCTATAACGCTCACATTATAGCCCGGGAGCCAAATCGCATCCTGTCGGGGCGCCGGTGGACGCGCCTGATTCAATTTAGTGAACGACTACAATATCTTATCAGTGTTTCTTCCCAGACTTTTTTCTCCGGGGGGCACTTGATATTTTCGGGAGGGGGGGGCGGTCAACATTTTCCGGGGAGGGGGGGTCGGACACTAGTAAAAGTGTGTTAACTATATAAATTCCATATCGTTCGGGGGGGGGGGGGGGCGGTAGACTTTCTTCTGGGGTGGGGGGGGGGGGGGGGCTCTGCAAAGAGATACCTGGAAGAAACTCTGTACCCCATCTCATCCATAGTCTTTTTCACTGTTTAAAACGAACGTAGGCGCCATAAAACTCGCTGGGAACCTCCCCTAGAGTAGTAATGCATAAAAGACAAACAAACAAACAAACAGACACACACACATACATTGCTTTATATACATACATTGCTTTATATATAGGGAGAAGATATATAAGCTAGCGTGCCCGAAATATATAAAAAGGGATTCATCATTGCGTTACCAATTCTATATTCTTAGACTTGAACTTATTTTGCAACACTGAGTTATTTAAATGTAAACAATGCCTGCGCTTGGATCATATTTATCAGGGCAAGGGTTTACTACACTTGAATGTACGTTTACCATTCATCGTAATGAGTTAGAACACACTTCGGTGACCGCCCAGGTGTCATATAGGACATAAAGGAGTGCTCTCGGGAGCAGGAGCACCGCGAACGACCCCTGGCTCCTTAAAACTAACGTAGGCTCCATGGTGCACACAAGATAACCCATAGCGCCAAATCGCACCCTGCCGGAGCGACGAGGGACGTGCCTGATTATGATTAGTGAACGACTCTAATACTCCATCTTATGCATAGTCTTTCGCAGTTTAAAACGAACGTAGGCACCATAGCGCTAACGGGATAACCTAGGGTATCAAATCACAACCTGCCAGGGCCCGGCGAACACGCCTGATTCAATTTATTGAACGACCATAATGCCCCATTTTATACAGTCTATTGCACTATTTGAAACGAACGTATGCGCCATAGCACTTACGGGAAAGCCCAGGGCGCCAAATTGCACGTGAAATTGAATTTTTTTCCGCAGAATCTTTCTCTTGAGTATTCTCTTCAACTCCCCAAAGTTTCATTGCTCTCAAATGAACGACGTTGAACCGCTTACTAACAGTATTTCTGAGCACCCCCCCCCCCCTCGAAGGAAGGAACTCTGCTTACTAATTCCGCATAGAGCCTGAACCAATTTACATGAGAATGGAAGATACTGACATGGAAAGGTCTAACATATAAGTAATAAAGCAACAAAAGGGACAGAACTTTTCTTTTTACTAACCTCCAAGTTGAGAACTGGTTTTTTAATTTTGGAAACATCTTTGGTTGTACGTGTTTCGTCTGTTTCATTCATTGAGTTATTTACCCATTGGAGTGGTTTGTTAGAATGGCAAGAATTTCGTTCTTGTTTTTCAGTATCAAGTTCAGTATCATGATGGACAACACCTATACACCCTTGACTTGAAATATCGGACAAATTGTTCAAATCACGTCTCACTTGGTTCTTATTAACAAATACTACTCCTTTGACATTCATTTTCATTGTTGTGACATTCATGTTTATATATTCTATTTAGTTTCGACTGAGATTAAGACAATGCCACATTTAAGAGAAATTAACTCTGCACAGTTCGTCTACTCACAAATTCTCACATCTTTTCAATATTCAATGCCTTTAGATTAATACATGATATTTGAATTGATAGATTATACTCGAAGAAATCATACACTTACTATGTTGGAATATATATATATATATATATATATATATATATATATATATATATATATATATATACACACACACACACATATTTATACCAAGAATAAAATGTTGCCGGACGTTGTAGCCGTTATTAACACAACTAGTAGAGTCAGCGTCAGCTACACAACTATTGTTAAATTAGGATATACTAAGCCCGCGCTATCTATCGGCGAGAGGTAGCAGCTTTGTGGGCATAATAAAACATTTTATGGTGCTAGCACAGTGGCGTAGCCAGGATCGTCTCAAGGGGGGGGGGGTTCCAATTTTTACCCGGGGACAAACTTTCGATTTGCACCCCACCCCTCAAACTTTCGATTCGCACCCCCCTTCAAACTTTCGATTTGCACCCCCTTCCCCTTAAACTTTCGATTTGCACCCCCTAACCCCCCTGCCTACGCCACTGTGCTAGCAGTATTTAGCAGCTCCCAATACAGATAGCATTCAACTGTCAGTGAACAGCTGCTTATATATTCATACGGTCTCAAGAGAGCTGTAACCGGGAACACGCCCAATAACGAACATACTTTTCATACTAATTAGGATAAACTAGATCTAGTAATAAACTTTTAAAATAAATTGCCAAAATTTTTGTTACTGTTTCTCATTTTTACGAAAATAATAAACCGGGAGTGATCTCCCCTAAACTTCCTAGAATATTCTGATATAAAACAACAGGGGATGGGAACTCAGGATATAGTTAAGTTTTTAATCCATTTTAAATACTTAAACTTTTCAAAATAGAATTTCATAGAAAAAAGAATTGCGCACCCAGCGAACGCCAAAACAAAATGGGCATAATAGTGCGGAATATTATTAGTACTTTATAAATTTACATGCGTTTTTTGAGAAATCGGAAATAGCGTAAATTAGTACTTCCGGTCAACGGAAATTACTCAAAATTTGATAGAAGGTAGAGAATTAGATCTTTTACTTACATGTGAAATTTCATTTATCTATCTGAGATAGTACTCAAGTTATAGGCTTTTGAAAAATTCAAAGTAGAAAAAGTACCACTACCGGCTATCGGAAATCGCTCAAAAGTTGATAGGGATCTACGATTTTCATAAAATACATATATATAAAATTTGATCAACCTAGCTGTAACGGTACTCAAGTTATCGTGTTTACACACACAGACACACAGACATACGGACAAGATTGCAAGATTATGTTTTTCCGTATCAGTGAGGTGTAAAACGTCGAGATTTGCAAAAATCTCGGAATTTTTTTTGCACGATTACAAGACTTTCTTTATACTTCGTAAATACGAGAAAGTAAAAATGCTTAAAAATAACAAGCTTTTAGGTATTTAAGCTCTAAAAAGGATTCAATATATAATAATGAACTGTTATTTAAAGAACTAAAATAAAAGCGTGGGTCGCTTCTTCAATTCTAGAAAAGGTATTCAACTCGTGCTTTTTTAAGCATTTTTTTTCGTGCTACTTTAAGGGTCGGCGTTCGGGAAGCAGCCCTCTTGTTACGCCACTGCGTATCATGCCAAACTAATGTTATCACTTAAAATATAATTATCAGGAACGCTTGATACCAGTAGTTTAAATACCAGAGAAGAATTGTATCAAGATCTTCTCACACTATATGCAGATCAAAACACCAACTTGTATCACAAACCTATAATATTTTGCTATCAAACCAGGTAAGAATCATTTATGTGAGTAACCACACATCTAGTCTTTGAACTATTATTCCTCTATATAAAACAAATATTTTAAAAAAAAAATATCAGCAAAAAAGCTTTTAAATGCCCTTAAAAAAATAATTAGCTTTCTTTACTAAATACAAAGAGGGTCGGCGTAGTCTCGAGTTCAAATCCTCAGGCAGACGAGGCTCAATAGCTGGGGACAGCAACTCTTCTAGGAGAGATAACTCCAAAGTCAAACAACTGCTGCCTTTTAGTTCTTGGTTGGACAAAGGTTATGAAAGCAAATCCAAAAAGAAAAGCAGGCTGAAATCGGAGTTACAAACTCAATGGCGCATAACAGTTGACAGGTATACCTAATTGTGTTGGAGGGAATCCCTTCCAACACTAAAATTAAAAACGAAGAAGAAGAAGAATAAAAACAAATTAGTTTTATTTTATTATTTTCAGTGCATTCCTAATTTATGAAGTCGACACGACTAAAACTATTTCCTTTACAACACCATCAGTAGCTTGCGATATCTAAAAGCGATTATCTACCTCATGAAACTCAGTTGTCCATGACTACAATTTGCAAGCTGATAAAACGAAGGCTATATCTTAATCTCTTTACCCTCTGCTTGGTTTCAAATTTTAAAAACTTTATTATCTGCCCCTAATAGTCTTTACTAGATCGACCGGCTCTACGATTTTAAACATATCTCGTAAACCACAGCTCACCAGACTGTTAGGGTGATAGCATCAAGCTAACTATCTCCAGTTCTGAAATTGAAAATAGTAGTCTATCGAAATAGTTAATTGTGTTATCTCCCTTAGTTTTCGAAACCGTTTAATTTATTTTTATGACTAATTAAACATCTAATTAAATCGTCATCAAATCGGGACGCATCTGGGAGGTTTGAACGAAATCGCCGCATTAGAAGTGGGTCAAAATCGATTTTCATGATTTGCCACAAACCCACAAACTCTAGTTAACTTGTCTCCTCAGCAGCTAATAAACCCTTCTACAAAGACCCACTCACACTTCTCAATTTAATTTGTCTTATTCCATATTTCTTCCAGAGGCATAGGCCTACTTTGATTTCTTACATGCTTAATTACAATCTCTACAGAATTTTCACACAGGTTCTTACTTAGAGTTCCTTATCTGTGTGTCTGTGTGTCTGTCTGTCTGTCTGTCTGTCTGTCTGTCTGTCTGTATATATATATATATATATATATTACACATATATATATATATATATATACACATATATATATATACATATATATATATACATATATATATATATATATATATATATATATATATATATATATATATATATATATATATATTATATATATATATATATAAATATAATATAGTATATATATATATACATTGGCGTAGCGAGGTCGGGTGTCACCCGGTGCGGCACTAAATGGTGTCCAGCCCCCCCCCCCCCCCCGTAAAAAATTATATATATATATATATATATATATATATATATATATATATATATATATATATATATATATATAATATATATGAAGAGTTGATTTTCAAAACGCGATAAGCGCCATTTTTGAAAAAAATGAGATAACGTGCCCATATTGTAAAGCTACTCAGTTACTATTAGGAAAACTTAATTTTAATCTTCACGGCGCAAAATTTTCATTTTTATTTCTATTTTGTAGCTTAACAAAAGCTGGATATACCTCATTTTGCAACGAAACGCAAATTTTGGGACAAAAAAAAAGCATCTTTTTATGCAGGTACATTTCAAAAACCATTCTAGTCCTATTTATATGAGGTTATGAACCTAAAGACAAGCTGTACTCTTCAAATTAAAGTCTCTCGTTAGAGATTTGCATCATTTTTTGAAAAATGTTCAAATAACTGAAATTACTCACTAAAAACACTTTAAAGTACCAGAAAAACATGGTACAATTGTAGTGAGATGATAACACTGGGAATATAAGTGGGTCTTAATAAAATAATAAACTAAAATATTGGACATCAGATGTATTTTCAGAAAAAAAATGGATATACTGCGTTTTGTAGCTTAACAAAAGCTGGATATACCTCATTTTGCCAACGAAACGCAAATTTTGGGACCAAAAAAAAAGCATCTTTTTATGCAGGTACATTTCAAAAACCATTCTAGTCCTATGTATATGAGGGTTATGAACCTACATTGACAAACAGTTTTAGCATATTGAACAATGGCTTCGTGTAGGAGAAAAGTGCGATTTTCTCGAAACCCAAATTTTGGATATATTGCATTTTGAAAATCAACTCTTCATATATATATATATATATATATATATATATATATATATATATATATATATATATATATATATATATATATATTATATATATATATATATATATATATATATATATATAATTTCAATTGCGATCATTTTTTAGCCCTCGTCGAGGGCTGTTAGTCTGACCAACAATACGGCCTAGTCATCTATAGAGGTGCATGCCAAAAAATTAGCCAGATGTACAGAGGTTTAGTTACCCTAAAATTTGTGTTGAAATAGCCCTGTTTTTAGTCATAAAATACAAAGATTATATAGGGAATTACGACTGTTCAGTTTGACCACTTTACAAAATTTTCCCCGATATAGCGAGTTTTTGCTGACACCCCAAGGTGAGTTTCTACCAATTCAAAAAAAAATATCAAGGGGGTCATTGGGCAAAAGTTTTTTTTCGTAATATAGCTTTAAAAAAAGGCGCCGGTCAGTCGAGGTCAGTTTTGACCCTCTCTACGTGGACTTTGCGGTCAACCGGCACCGGCCCCCGTGTTCCTATTGCCCCAAGGCAGGAGCCTGCCAAATTCGACGCCCCTGCAGTCCGTCTTCCCCCCCCCCCCCCCCCCTCCACCACTATGTTGAGTATCTTCTAATAGGGGACAGTGTAATGCTTATCAGCTTTCGGATAGAGCTTTATGACCGTGAGAGTCGGAGCAAAATCACTAATATGTTTAATATCGAGGGCTACAAAAACACAATAAATGAGTTTTAATGCTTTATTAGCTTTCGGCTACAGCTTTATTAATATAACTTTAAAAAAAAATTAAGTAACACTGAAATATGTAAAAAATTATCATACAGTTTAAAAAACACAATATTTTACTTCGTGATGCTAAATAATACAAAATATTTCGCGAATCGATAGAGAGTTCTAAGGCAAGATAATATCGGCATGGGTACAGAATCTATGAGGTCACTGTGATTTTTGTTTTGTTTTTATGTTCCCACCCAGGAAGTGGATAGATGGGAAATCTCAAAGCACGCGAATGGCTGAAAATGATTGCTATTTTTTTTTTATGATTGGTTTAATAATTTATTAATTATCAAAATTATGATGGACTCTGCTTCAGATTAAGTGAATCAAGGATTTTCGTTTCAAAGTTTGTTTTCCAATAAAAACAATAAAAATGGGGTCCGCCAATGCTAAGCATA